TCTTTATATTAGTCAAATGAAGTATATGATGTATTCAAAGTAATCCAACGACTAGCCTTAAAGAGTATTGTTCCTATATGAAGAGGTTAGTCTTGCTAATATTTTTTTTAATTTAAAACCTATAAAGATTTAATAAATATTTATTGTTTGTGCCAACTTACTAAACCACTTAGCGCCACCTTTGATCGCATTCCTCCCTTGCTCTTCCTCCTTCCCTATGGGGCGTGGCAAGCCTGCTGGCCTTCGTGTTGCTCGTAAACTCAGTAGTCATCGCCAAACCCAAAAATGGGCAGATAAACAGTATAAAAAAGCTCATTCTGGCACTCGCTGGAAGGCAAATCCTCTTGGTGGCGCTTCGCATGCGAAAGGGATTGTTCTTGAAAAGGTAGCCCTATTTTTGCATTTATACCTCTCTAGTGTGGTGTTGAAGCGAAACAGCCAAATTCTGCTATAAGAAAATGCGTTCGCGTACAACTTTTAAAGAATGGGAAGAAAATTACCGCGTTCGTTCCTAATGATGGTTGCCTTTCCTTCATTGAAGAAAATGACGAGGTTTTGGTCGCTGGCTTCGGTCGGAAAGGTCACGCTGTCGGTGATATCCCTGGTGTAAGGTTCAAAGTTGTGAAAGTCGCGAATGTTTCACTTCTCGCTCTGTACAAAGGAAAGAAAGAGAGGCCTAGGTCCTGAATTATAGTCCTACTCATGGATTTACTTGCTCTTAATCTTGAATGGTGGCTGGTAATACAAGTGAACTTCGTACTTCTAATTTCCTACTTCTGGTGATTCACTTCTTTAGATTGTCATGGAGTGCTGTGCTAATGTTCTGACTATCTAACGTGTCTTTATGCGAGCCATATAGCTTACTTAATTAGTCTACCTACCTTTTTCTACTGTCATGAGAACTGTGAATGGCAGCATATTCGATATTTGATGTATGTCATTTTATCTTGCTTGTTGTCCATGTCGGCCAAATAGTCACTTTATTCTGTACTGCCACAATTTGACACCGATTAGCCTCCCGCCCAGCGTAGACGTGTTCGTTACTTTGGATACGAAGATCCTATATGGGCTTCAGAGTTAAGCTTGTTGACCTCTTGTCTATGCTTGGGGCAATATTTGCTTATTGCCACTACTTGGGACGGGGCACGCTGCGAAACATCTCACATTAGCAATTTCACCTTTGAGTTAACAATGATGGGATTTTTATCTTCTGAGTTATGTTAGTTGTGGCGCCCGGACACAGCGCAGGGATGTAAGGATTCCTATTATCTGACTTCAGTTATCCGCCAATGAATTAATCATGGCCTGTTTGATTAGCTATGCTCCGCATGTAATGTTTGTGGACGCCTTTCCTACTATTGGTATGTGAAATTATACTTGATAGATAAATTTTATCAGGTCTATTGACCCTATTTCGTTAGGAACTGCGCAGAATTTTCCCACAATGATATGACTAAATCTCACATTTGCACTGAATTTCACATACCCTTGCTTTCCCGATATCCAGAGTTGAATGCAGTTTTGGCCTCGCCTATGTCCTGTCAACACTATCAACTGGAGTTTAACTTTGGCGGTGCAATTTGTGAGTTTGACACTACACATTAGTGCTCTTGGACACAGAGTCGATGTGAATTTCAAAGAAAGCCAGATCGTTTCTATATTACATTCAATGGTGGGATGTAGGCAAAGCTAACATATTTTTACTATAACAATCGATTGCATTACTTATTTTTCGAGACTCAGTAAACATGAGATGCATTCATCCTATTTCCTTCAAGTAGAATTTTCCCACAATAATATGAGTAGAGCTGACGTTTTCATTGAATTTCAGTCTTGCTTCCCCAAGAGTTGTTCTCATCCAGGGTTGATCGCGGTCTTGATCTCGCATAGGTCTTATCAAAACTTAGCCGGAGTCAAACCGCCACGGTACAAAGTCTGTGGTCGTGACAATGTGGCTGAGTGGTTAACGTGTCAAGCTCACGTGCTGCACTGTCACGGTTGGACTCCTGCTAAGGGTGTTTATGATATCTACGTGAGGTCGAAACTGCAGTCCACTTTGAATGAAAACTTTTAGGAAAGCAAAGCTCTGTGAAATTCAATGGAAGCGCCAGCTCTACTCATATCATTGCAGGGAAATCCTACACCTTAAACGAGGTAGGGTGAATGCATCTCATATTACAAGATTATTCGAAACGACTACTTTGTGTCTAAAGCATGCTTACGCATGCCAATCATTTCAATATTTATCACTTTAAAACAAAACTAAGAAATAGATTGCTATGAAAGTCAATTATATTTGATATAAAGATTGTCCTTTTGGTATTGTTAATCTTAAGTTCCGTATCGTTAATACGCTTAATTCGCTAAATAGAACTATCTTTTGTGTTCGCCCTAATTCGTTTAAGGTGATGAAGGACCGCTAGTTGAGTCTTCCCACAATTATATTAATAGAGCTGACATTTCCATTGAATATCGAATTGCTCTGCTTTCTCATACAGTGTAGACTGCAGTTTCGATTTCGCCTAGATCTTATCAACACCCCCTGCGGGAGTAGAATCATGACAGTGTAGTGTGTAATTTCAACACGTTAACCACTATGACACAATGCCATGAGTGCCCTTGAGTCACGGGGACGATATGAATTTAAGCGAAGGTCAGGCACTTTATATCATATTCTGTATTGGGATTGTAGATGAAGCAAACTTATATTTGCTATGGAAATATACGATATCACTATTCTCGTTATTTAGTAGGTTTTCGGGTGGTCTATCTAATGTATTGTGTAGGGCTTACTTCCATTTTGAGTAAAGGTGTTGGGTGAAGATATTCGAAGATCTGTTCGACCAGAAGACGACGGCGAATTCCTCTTGACCAGCTGTCGAGTGGCTTTATTGGAAGATTCATGCTGACGTTTCCGAGGCAATCTTCTTCGATTCCGGTGAACACGTGCTGAGCTTTCGTTCGTCATGATGGACATCATCGGAGCGAGGTAACATCGTCACAACAAAAGTAAAGCTTACAAGTCAAGAAAACACTTTTTAGGGATTTGCTGGTGAGTTTTCTTGATTCGTAAGCTTGAATTTTGTTGTGG